ATTTTATGATTCCCCCACTGCTAAGGGGATGATGTGTGGCCGAACTAAAGCCCAGGCTTTGTGTGTCAGAATCCTGCGTAATTAGTTACAGCCTCACAAAATACCGCATAGTGTCTTCCTTTTGGTGTTATGGATATGGTCACCCTACCTCATATGCAGTCTAATCTGTGTGCGTGTTTGTTTCAGGGAGAGAGAGAAAGAGAGTTCTCCTCCCTTTCACTTGTCTTATCTTACAACAAAACCAAAAGCAGAAAGGATGTGTAACCATGGCAACCACAGCAGTATGTGAAACAGACATGAGTGAGCAGCAATCACTATACCTCCTACATTCCACAGCGTTTAGTACTGTCGTTCTAGACCCGAACAGGCGCGCAACCACACACACCATAATAATTCAGGTAGTACCATAGAAACCACTGTCTCACATATTTAGGAGGGAGGGCTTTCCCAAGCCATCTCCCAAGCCATTGAACAGAGACTCTCGCTGAAAGGAAGTTACCTTACGCCATTTAGTTAAGATTAAGAATTAAGATTAAGTATGGCCATATTTTGTTCCGAAAAACATTTTGGGACCACTGCATATTTTGGGGTTTTAACCGTGAAACAGCCCAAGGGCATTAGGCTGTTTGACTCCTGTTGTGGGAAACAGTTGTGCTGTTGTCCCTAGAACCCTTCAGTTGTTTGCCACACTGAATTTGGAGCAGTTACTGAAATGAAGATGACCACGACGGAAATAATGAGCCAGATAATTGAAATTGAAGCGAGATACTGAAAGAATGTTTTCTTTATTTGTTTAGAAAGCTGGTAGCATGACTTGCCATTTTTTAGTACTTTCACAAAAAAATTGCTACACTGCTGCTGTATCAACACAAACCAGTGCCTGTAGTACGCGTGACACCTACTATCAGAACCACCACAACATTCCCCTTCTTCATATGGGGCAGACGGGTTGGATGGGTAAAACATGGGGCAAACCAACACAGGTCTGTCAAGCAGCCCACTGCTGTTGGTTTCCTGTGTGACAACAAGTCAGGGTTGACTACTTTTTTTACATCATTTACACTTAACTATGACATATCTGACACATCTATATGTGGTTTGTGTACCTCCTGCTGGTACAATAGTATGTTAAAAAACTGGTTTTGCTTCACGCTTGGAACAAACCAGCAGAAGTTAGTGAATTTAGCAACACCTAGAATGATGTTTGATTCCAGAGCTGACGCTGGAAAGAGTTTAGGAATGACAGTAATCCGCGCAAGAGCTCATCTTCTGTGACCCGGGTACCTATGAACTGTGACGCCCACGAAGGAGCTCCCAGAGGTCTTATCGAACATTGCAGCCAATCAGCATCCCCCTTTCCCTGCCAGCACAGACAAGCTTATGAGCAATGAATGTACTTCCCGGATGACGGTTCAGAGCGCAGAGCAAATGGAGACGTCACTTCTCTGGATTAATCACTGCAGCTTGCATGCTGATAACTGTTTAAATCACTGAAATGGTGTCCGTCATTTATATTGTATTCTTTATTGTACACTGATACAGAATAATGACCTGTGATCCACATAGTGGTCCTGGTCTTGAATGGAAGCTGGAGTGCTTCAGTCTCCAGCCACACATCTAAGAGAGCGAGCCGTCATCATATTCAAAGAAAATGATGAGGAAACAGCAGTACTCATTTTAAGCTTCCTTTTTAGGTACTTGGTGTTAACTCGAGTCTTGAAAAGTCACTCGTTAAATCGAGTGACTTTTCAAGACTTAATGTAAAAGTACTTGGAATAAGTTATTTTCTGCTGATAGGATGATGATAGAAAGTGAGAAATATCTGAGGTAATACTGTGTTTTATCATAAATAAGATATGCATGCTAGGCCCTCCCGTGGGTCTTTTCCAAGGTGCGATCAAATCTTTCTATGAATCTCAGGTTTTGATCCATGGTGAACTAGGTATGGCTTGATTTTAGCCATACCTAGTTCCCCTTCTGCTTCTAGTCCAGGAACACTAGTTATTAGGTGAAATGAGTCAGTTGACGGCATAAAACAGTCGATAGAAATGGGACTAAAGTATGTGAATCAACTTGGGCTGTCAACATAAACACATTCATCTATGCGTTAATGTGGCCGGGATTAATGCAACAAAATATTTTAACGTAGTTAAGGTTACGTTTGTTTACTTCCGAGACCATAAATAAACTGGAAGTTGATCGCAGAAACAAAATGTCCACTAGCTGCAGTCAGTTACATCAAGATAGAGAGAGCACTTTGCATTGGAAGTAAAACACAGAAGAATTACTCCACGTGTCAAACAGAAGGGTGGGAGTGGAAAACGGAGCTATGCTAAGCTATCTGCTAGGCTACTTGCATCTCCACATGTAACGTTACCCTGCCTGGGACACAGTCTGCAGAGGACCACCACTGTGTCCCTACAGGACCGTGTTTGAATACGTCCTGGATAAATGTGGGGAGATTGTTGACACTTGAAACACAGCCGTCAAATGGTGGAGAGTTGAGAGCAAAGTGCACGAGGACAACCGAGAGAGTCGCTGGTTCAACATGTTCCACCAGGTGGAATTCTGCCACAAGATGATCAAATGTGTAGTTTTGTGTTTAAAATAACATGTGTCTAAAATAGATGCTCTCTAAAGTGACTACTCATTATTTAAAGATTTTACATTTTTTTTTAACTATTGACAGCCCTAGAATAATCGCAAGCACAGGACGTTACTCAGCAACAGTCTTAAATGTTCACAACAATGATCAGACTGAGCAGCAGCGTGTGAGATGTACCGTGGACAGACAGTCCACACACAACCAAATGCACAATGTTAAAAAGTTCCAACAAGTTGACATATATGCTAGTAGGGAGACTCATATTTCTGATAACATACATGGACTCGGCATCAGTACACCTGTTTCCATTTGTCAGGCCTTATTGTGTAAGTGTCTTAAATATGTAACATCATTCGTGGATTTCAAAGTGAACAACGAAGACGGCAGATCACAGGAGGTTTGCTTTTAGAGCTCCTCATACCACGTGTGAACAAGAGAAGACTTGCTGACCGAATCAGATCAGTTCCTGAGGACAGAGTTGGTTCATACGTGTGTGAGTAGAGTGAGTGGGTGAGGAGATGTTGCTTCCTATCTTGCAGCTGGCTCAAAACTGGAAGAAAACCAACATTCATTCACACAAGTTGCAACAGAAAAGGTCTGACTGAAGAAACAATGACATTGCGCTCCGTCCCCAAGACATTTTTTGGTGCCAAATCTTGCTTTTACCTCGTAACCCGCCCTGGACATCTCCTCCTTTGAAACAAGTATTGCTACCGGCTACTGTTGAGTTGTGAGGCTGTTGTGAGGCTTTCAACCAGCTGGGTAGATTATCTGAACCGCCATGCAGCCATTAAAGTCCCGTGGAGAGAGGGACGGGCTAAGCACTGCCGGGGGATATCACCAACTCGCTCTCTTCCCTCTTCTCCCGTCCGAAAGAAAAGAAAGAGGGAAAAAATCCCTTCCACGCAGATTGTGACGTACGATCATCTCTAGTCGATCAAGGATCTCAGTGGAAGGGATTTTTTCCCTCTTTCTTTTCGCCCACTGAGTGTTATGATTTAACTCAGCCCATAGAGCAGGGTTGAGAAGAGAAGAGCGTGGGCGTAACCTGCATCTCTCTCTCTCTATCTCAGTACCTGCTTGCCTTCTGCAAGGAGCTGCAGAGCTGCTCTTTCTCCCTCTAAGAAATGAAATCCTGGGTTTTGACTTCATGCCCGTGGAGCCTACGACATGCAGACAGATAGAAGGGAACAGCTCAGTGGTGGGATGTGTGAAGGAGGTGGGGACCAAAACGAACAGCTGACTGCGAAATAAGCGTGAATCATATCTTTAACACTTATCTTCTCCTGTCATATTCCTCACAAATAATGGTAGACTGATTACTTCAGATCCCCAGGGACATTTCTTACAGCATTTCTTATCAACATGACAATTCACACCAGAGCAATGTATCTGTCTCAGATGAATTAAGAGGCTGAGTGTAGCTCGGGGATGGTGGGCATGTGTTCTGGTCTCAGAGGACTAATTGTAAGCCAGCATTGGCTGAATATCCAGACTGGATAAAAGACGTAAGGGATGCAGAATGATTGGGGGGGGGGGGCGCTGCAGCTGTTCTAGAAGATTGTGGAGGAACCTTGCTAACAGAGCTTAGAGAGGGTGTGCTGGGAACCGAAGGGTTGTTGGTGTTACGGGTTAAATGCAGAGACTCTGCAATGACAAAAAGTTGATTCTTCTTCTTCTGCAGTTCTTGCACAGCCACCGGCCGGAGTGCACTCACAGATTAACTATTCGCTCCTCACATCACAGTCATTTGTTTCTCTCTATAACTAACACTATTTTTCTCCATCAAAGCTGCAGCTTCCTAATTTCTGTAAGAACGTAACTAATTAATGCAAACCTGATCTTGTGGACATGTGAATCATCTATTTCCTTTGATTATTAGAAAAAAGTGTAAAAATGGGATGTGAAAAGCAGCAAACAAAGAGCAAAGCGCCCTTTGTTACTCTCTGTCCCCTCAGAGCGCTGCTGCCGAGCTGACTGATCAACACCTTCATCGGACACCTTTAGGGGACTGACGGCTCACCGGAAACACCCGGAATCTCTGGGAAAGTCTTGTCTGAATGAATCAAAAGGGTTCTTCGTCCTGAGCACTCGTCACGGGTAAAGTTAATGCATCACGGATAATATGGACATTAATCTTTTTCCTTGATAATTATACACCACCTTCTCCTAAGCAAGAGTGAAATGATGACACCGCAGGAGCTACAAGGTGCCTCTGTATGAAGATGGCAGTCGTCTCTGTATTGCCGAGCTGGTTTACTGTACATGTGCTGCTCTCTCTTACGCCCATCAAACAAACATCCAGTTTGAGAAATGTGTCAAAATGTCATGAAGAATGAAGATAAAAGTTGTGGAACATGAGAACAAGATATAGTTTATGTCCCTGTAAACTCACCTCCTTTATATCCTCATGATTGCAGTTGTCGCTAACTGGAAGGGATTGACATCTCTGTATCACTGGTCAACTCCAGTTATCTGGGGAAGGACAAAACACACAAATACACATACTGTTACTACAGAAGGTACATGTGACAGTTTGGTTCTCAGTCGATTATGTGTGCTGCATCCTGTCCCTTTATCTGTCACAGCCAGACTTCTCTCAGGTAAGACCAAACCAACACCGTTGAGGGGGGGTCAAAGTACGAAAAGCCATGATGTACGAGTGCTGTGGAGAGATTTAGACTAAGGTAAATATCTAATACTAAAATGCAGTTAGTTATAATTAGTGACAGTGTGTGCTCCAAAGTAAGTCCGACGGCTTGACGGAGTAGCAGAAGTGGGCGGGGCTTAGCAAAGTGTCCTCTCCCCCCTGCTGCGATGCGGATTACCGTAAATTACGGACTATAAACTGCTACTTTTTTCTCCACGCTTTGAACCCTGCAGCTTACACAACGATGCGGCTAATGTATCATATTTTACGTGCTAACGAGACAGACGGGTGCAAGTTATGGGCAATCAATCTGTCTGTCGGAGAAGGACACAGAGCGGCTGCTCTTATTATTTTCATTATTTGATTTAAAGAAAAGATGGACTAGCTTTATAGACTAACGGACGTCTGATTTCCACTAATGGAACCTGACATCAGTGGATGGTGGGACAACTAACCCCCCAACAGGCTTCCGCAGCAACGCCGTCCACGATTGGGGTTGACAGCAGCAGTGCTGACACTGACAAAATCTGGGCATCTAATGTGTTGAGCCACAGCAGGGGGCTCAGACACAACTGGAAATCTAATGCGACACATGAATTTGTCATGTGTGAGCTATTTTTACTCTGATGCATGTGGTCTGTACATCACGTGTAAATATAAGACGCTAATTATTTAGCTTAAACCTGTTTGTGAATTGTATTTCAGAGAGCTAGAAGCCACTGATGTTCAGCTCAATTCTTTATGTATTATTGGTGTATTTGCCGTAATCCATATTACTCATCTACACATTATCTTAGCAATAATGCTAACTTGAAATGGGATTGAAACCATGCATGGATGTTCCTAGAGGCCAGTCAGGGCTTTTTGAAAATGTTGCATCTCTATTGGCCATCACACCAGTTGTTTCGTGTATCCGCCCGGACACACACACACCAACAACAGGTGCTTAATTGTCTACAAATAAGCAATTCCTAAAGCTCCTCTTTCACAGATTAATTTGTTAACACTCTCAGATTTGTCCCCCAACTAATGATGGGAAATGACACCCGGGGGTCCTACTAGGATATTTTTCACTAGTAGAAACCTGATTAAGTTGTTGCCTGGAAACAGGCTGATTAAGAACGTGCAGCTTTAGTAGACCCAATGTTTAGCCTAACTGGACCTTTGCTGTGGGCGTAAAAAAGATTGGTGAGCTGCTGCACATCAAACCAGAGAGCTCCACCATGCACCACTTTATTACTTTATTAATATGTATTACTACATATTAAAGCCATGCTTCGTCATTTTTAAATACACAGAGGGTTTCCTAAGCTTTGTCTAATGAAATGTCTGAATATTACCCACAGTCTGATGATAGAACCCTACGACATGGGACCTTTGTCATTACCAGAGCGCCAAACACCAGCAAGTTTTAACGTAGTATGTGTAAGTATGTGTGAGTGTCCCCTCTGTGTCTAGAGACCCCTAAAGAGGCACATGGGTGGCTGGGCTGTAATAAAATCAATATGAATCTTACAGATGCATAAAACACTAAAACAGAGGTCTTCAACAGGGGGTCCACATAGGTACTGCAGGGTGGTTGCGTATTTTTTGGTTGATAAGACACATTTTTTTCCACAAATTGAAATCTCTTCAGAATCCAAAACCTGAATTTATTGTCTTTAAATACACATAGCGAACGGATAAATTGATGGAGGAGACGTTATCCTTCAGTCCCCCAGCAGCTCTCTGCTGGACACCGATTCACTCACAGCTCCTTTCATGCTGATACAACATCACAGGCACCAGCCAATCAGATCCATTCATGCTCACGTCTAAAGAGCGCCGAGCTCAAAAATAAAAGATTCCACCACAGCGGACAAAACTCCGCAGAATAGGGGGTCCCTGCTCCATCTCGCCATCAGTTTGAGGGCCTGAAAAACGTTGAAGACCCTGCACTAAACAATAGGGGCAGACTGTTTGGGGGGTGGGGGGTGGAGTTCTACACAGGCGGACGCTGCAAGAAAAATAGGTTCCCTTCCCCCAGAAATTATAACACAATGCCCCCCACACAAATATTGAGAGAAATTAAAAGGATAGTTACCACAAAAAGGGAAAGGGTCTGACGGTTCACTATATTGTCTCTTGCCACGACGAAACCGAAAAAAACTATCTACAATGGTCCTCAGACAGTAGTATACCGTCTTATTAGTCTTTAAACTAAATCACCAAAAGTAGTTTTGTTCAGGTCTTGATCTTGACATTTTTGCTCAAATTGTTAATGTATTGTATTTGAAGGCAGCTTTAAACACCAATTGACTAGCATTAGAGATTACCGCTAGTGATTAGCATTTGTTTTAGCAATGAAAAGGCTTTCATGAACAGCCATTTAAAAATACTCCAGCTCCCTGTTAAAGTGATGATGTGGTAGTGCTCTTAATTTTCTGTAAGTGCAGTATGAATTCATAGTGGAATCGGCTAGTCGATAAAGTTTAATTTATTGACTATGCGAAACAGGCACGTGCACAATGACCCCCAGTGGTGCTCAAGCACCTGCCCTTTGCCCTGGATAAGCAGAGTGCCCCTTCTGCTGCAGCCCAATTTTTTCTTCATTCGTCAATATTTAAGAAAAATTACTCTCTCTGTCAACAATTCCCGCCAAATGTGTTTTGATATCTGAACATTTATTTGAGTTCTTGTGAGAATTTCGCCCGAAAATGCCCACGGCGCTCACAAGCCCCGGCCCTCCCTCCTCCTCCACTTAGAGCTCGTGAAGTGCTGAACGCCAAACGGCTGCAGCAGCGGACAAAAAGGTGATGACGGTGTTTGTGTAAACCGCTGAAAACTGGTCCGACGTTTCCTAAAAAATAAGCAAAATACTCAAATCTGATTTCAAAGTCTTGTCGAGCTGTTTACTGACATTTTTCATGTTTAATGAAGACAGAGAGGGCGAGATACAGACAGTTTTACTGTTCTACAAATTAGACAAGTTCACTAGTTTTGTTTAATTTAATTCAATTATTGAAATAAAAGGTAGGTCTTACGTTGAGTTGCATGACAGTCTGGTGAGGTATATTGTGGTACATTATTAGCGTAATGCTGCTTATGCTTCAACTGTGTCAGAAAACAGTAAAAAGAAATGCATGTATGTTGTCATCTTTATGGAGATTATGTAAGTGTGTCTTATTATTCACAACATTGTTTATCTTATTTACAAAATGTACAGCATAATACCCTGTGTTTATTTATTTATTTATGATTATATTTTTAATTTCCTGATTACGTTTGGCGATGGGGGCCCTTTTGTTATGGTTTCAGCACCTGCCCCCCCGAAACGTCTGTGCACGTACCTGGTAGGAAAGCACTCACATTTTATACTGAGTGTTTCTTAAACCCCCCCCCAGTCGGACCCATGTTAATCATTTATCTTTCTTTTCAGGCATTGCAGGGACCTTGCCAGTGGAAGTAGTTTTTTAATTTTGTGTCTGGCATGTTGATATTGTACCGAAGAGGCGTCTGCTTTAGACAGGGCTGCTGTTGGGGGCTAATCATCTCTGTGGATTAATATAATCCATTAAATCTTTTTAATCCCTACCCTCGACCAAAACATTTCACCAACCAAAAACAGATTCTGCAAAGAGCTGCAACAATTAGTCGACAAAATCAACAACATCGATTGTGAAAAATTGTTGACGAAATGTTCTATTGTCAAAGCATCATATATTATGAAAAGATTCAGAACTACCTGTCATTTTCCTTCAAGTCTTGGAGTATTTCATCAGCAAACCAAACCAAAAAGTACAACACAGCATCTACAAAACAGAGTTGTCATTTCACAGCAGCGCCGAATACTAAACTATGGTACGTGATAATTAAAGCCTGTTTTCCTCTTTCTCACGCAAAGGCGTGTGCACGAGTTTATCCTGAATGCACCCCTCAGGTGGCAAGTCTTGGCAGAGAGCATCCCAAACATGCATCACTTGCATAGGCTCGAGTGCGGTTTTGAGTTACTTTTAAACCTTTATTTGCACTTTCTCTTTACTTTTAGAAACATATTTTCACCACTATTTAAGGTTTTTATTAATACATTTGTATTGTACTCACATACATTAGAAGTTCAAATTGCAACATTGAGTCATTATTTTAATTAGCTATCAGGTTAGTCGATTAATCGGATAGATTAATCGATTACAAAAATAATTGTTAGTTGCAGCCCTACCTATAACTAAAGTAACTTTGTATCTCTCCAAGTGAAAGTTGTTTTTAATTATTGACTTTAACTTTGTACCAGAGCTGGAAACATGATGCTAATGCTAACTTTAGCCTGGTCAGGACCAGTTCTCCATACCTCAGGCATTGCCTGTTGTTCAGGGATGGCCCAAATTAGTTATAGAAGTACGTATTGATTCAATAAAGAAATACCAAGAGTAAAAAGTGCATATTCAATAATTGCTGTCATTAAACACAGAAGAGCATTTCATTTTGAAATGGTATTTTTTGAAAAGCCAAATGACTATAGAAATAAGAGTGGATTTATTATATGATGTCTAAAAGAAAGACCAGACACAATAGAGAAAATTAGAACGCAAGACATCAGTCTTATTACATACTTTTAATAATTCATATGGATTAAAATAGTTCATGAAATTTCATATGCAGCTCATTGAGGGTTCATAAAATCTATCTAGCCTCCAGGAGATGCTCATGTTTGTAATGGAAAAATGATATGTGACCCTTTTAAATGCTTCATTTGTATAACCAGTTTATTAGTTGCAAGTGCTTAGGTCACAAAGGCCCTGACATAAGAACTGATGTCTCCCACTTGGATTAGATGTTTCCAGCGTCA